AATCGGACCACTTTTTCCCAGTGATCTGCGTGATTCACAAGATGTCCTCGGCGCTTTGAAAGATTATTATTTCGTAGCTCATCGTGCTAGTTGACTGTGCGTCTAAAATGAAGGGCCCAAGAGACACAACAGAAGAGAGAGGGGGCTCGTGACATGCCGATGGGGTGATATGGAGTGTCTGTGACGACTGTCTGAAATTTTCGTCACTTTCGGTCATGTTTTGCCTTTTTTGGCTGAGCGATAGCGAAGCCTGTTACTCGGGTGGGTTTGGAAAGTTTTGTCTGTCTGTCTGTGTGTCCGCACTACTCCTGAACGGCTTGGCCGATTCAGCTGAGATTTTGCAGGGTCACTAGGTATGTCGTTGGCACGCTATACACCAAAATTAAGCTTTCTATCTCAATCCATTCGGTCATATTAGCCTGAACACACTTAAAAACGGCAGAAAAAAAGACAACTGTTCCCTACTTTCAACGTTTTGTGAGGAGAGACTTCGTGAGATGCAGGAAAAGGAGGAAACTCCGAAGAAGAGGAAGCTGGAGTCATCTGACAAGTCTACTAAATAGTAAGTTATTGTACTTTTTCTTTTTCGTTTGGTCTTTGTCTTATTTCCTAACTGTTTCCTGTTGTGTGTAGGTGCTGCTTCCACTTTGTCTGGCACAAGGATTTCGTCACGACTATGGATAATGTTCTGTAAATTATAGCTTATTTTGTATTGTAAAGTATTTTTATTTTGCACTTTGATCGAAAAATAAATCAGTATTCTTCACCATTTTCAATAATTGGCTGAGCGATAGCGAAGCCCGTTACTCAGGTGGGGTTGAAAAGTTTTTCCTGTCTGCGTGTGTGCGTGCGTGTGTGTGTGTCCGCACTACTCCTCCTGAACGGCTCGGCCGATCTCGGTGAGATTTTGCACACTTTTTGGGTATGTCCTTGGCTCGGCACACGCGAAATTTCACCATCCTAGCTCAACTGGTTCAGTTTTCATAGCCAAAAAACACATGAATAGAGACCACTAAATTATGCATATAGAATCATCATTTTATGCGCCACATTTTAACCCATTTATGCGGACTTTATGCGCCTAAAAATGTAGTTTTATGCGGGGTTTATGCGGGTAAAATTGTGGTTTTATGCAAAAATATGCGAAGGAGGAAAATAGGAGCGGAATGACAAATAGTAGAATTAGCTCATAAAAAAGTATTTAATGTTATTATAACGTGCCCCCAAAACACCACCACAATATGAACAACACTTGCGTCTGTCGGCAAACTCTCTCAATACTCGAAGTCCATAACCTCGTCGAACATGCTGGAACGGGCGAGAACGCGAGACGGGTGGAGGGGGCGAGGCGGGGCGGTGGACTGCGCGACGTGACGAGTATAGAGAAGGCGCAGGAATCAAAGGGCGCGTATTTTTAAATCGGTGGCGCGTCAAAAGCTGTAAATCGGCGTATTTTACGGGATTTTGGAGGCCTAATAGGTAGTTTATGCGGGAATACGTGACTTTATGCGCATAATATGCAAGTATGCGTCATGTTGCGTTTGTGCTTAGATTATGCGTCATTATGCGGTCTTGTTTCCGGTGTAGACCTACTTAAAACATGTTAAACTGTCTTTCTTTTGTCTTTTTCTCATACTTTAACAAAATATGCGATTATGCACGCGCATAATTTAGTGGTCTCTACACATGAAAAACGGCGAAAAATCGAGTTTTCCGTAGGCAGATCTCTTGTGTCTTTAAAAAAAGGGGGGCCTGGGGGGCTCCGCCCCCCAGCCCCAACAAGTTAAAAAGTTCCAAGGGGCAGATCGTGTTTTTTGAAGATGAAGCAAGTCTATCTAGAAAGAAGGGGGTCCACCCCCCCGAAAGAAACAAGTTAGAAGTAACCGACGACAGACAAGCCATTGCCTGCCGAAGGCAGGCTAGCGCCGCAGGCCAAGGTAGGTACGCCAGGCGCGGATTGTAGGAACAGGCAGCGAGACATCGCGAAGCCTGTTACGACAAGACGCGGTCTGGCGTAATCCTACCTTGTTTATTGAAATTCCTTTAACAGATATACACACCCACTTACATTGTAATGACCAAAAACAATTTGAACAAGGAAAACTAAGACAACCATTTAAACTTTAACTTAACTTACCATTTATCTAACACTGTTTGCATAACATAAGTTGAAGTTGGCTGAAGGTTAAGGGTACAGCCTTTTGAAAGTACTTCAAGTATTTCTACACACATCCGAGACACAAGAAAAATAATTTCCCCTTTAGAAAGGATGTAAGTGAAGGGATTAAGTATTACGATAACGTTATGAAGTTCCCGTCCCCCTGTCTTTAGAGTAGGGCGAAAGGTGATTGGCTGAGCGATAGCGAAGCCTGTTACTCCAGTGGGGTTGAAAAATTTATCCTGTCTGTGTGTGTGTGTGTGTGTGTGTGTGTGTGTGTCCGCACTACTCCTCCTGAACGGCTCGGCCGATCTCGGTGAGATTTGCCACACTTTTTGGGTATGTCCTTGGCTCGGCACACGCGAAATTTCACTATCCTAGCCCAACTGGTTCGATTTTTATAGCCGAAAAACACTGAAAAAACGGCGAAAAATCGAGTTCTCTGTAGGCAGATTGCTTCTGTCTTGAAGAAAGGGGACAAGTGAAAAAGTTACAAGGGTCAAGATCGAATTATCTGCAGATGAAGCAACTCTACCTAGAATGAAGGGGGGTCTTGGGGGCAGAGCCCCCCAGCACGCAACAAGTTAGGTAAATCGACGATGGAGAATGCCATTGCCTGCCGAAGGCAGGCTAGCGCCGCAGGCCAAGGTAGATACGCCAGGCGCGGACTGGAGAAACAGGCAGCGAGACATCGCGAAGCCTGTTACGACAAGACGCGGTCTGGCGTAAACCTACCTTGTATCAAATACGAATTTAACTGTTTAAACTTAATATTTATTTCTGAATTAAACCCTATTCGGGCCAGAAAGCTCAGCCTCAGCCAATCAGTGCCCCACAGTTACTCGTTTATGTTTTTGAGGCTGCTGATGACGAAATGGGAACCCATTCGGACCCACGACCCAGAGTTAAGTCAAATCAATGTAGATTTGAAGACCAAATGCTGTTTTTGGCCCGCCCTTCTATTCAAAAAATAGGGGGAGGGCCTATGCATTTGCCTTTGTGTCTGTGTGTTGTTGTTGTTGTTGTTGTTGTTGGCGTCTGTGTACAAGGAAGGAGTTGAGCTAGAGTAACCAGATTTGGAGGGTACTTCAGGAGTACCTTCCAAACAAATAATCCGGTGGTGCAAATCCCGTCCGGGTCGCACAAGGGCTGCTGCAGGTGCATCATGGTTTACATAAGCGGGAGGGGGATTTCCGCCATTATTGGTGCTAGCAGGGCACATAGGGGTATTTTTGGAATCGGGGCGACGAGACAAGATGAATGGACCTGGTCCCGACCCCATCGGCCGCTTTTACAAGTTGGCCAGATCAGGATCTTCAAAAAAGGGGGTCGACCGACTAAAAAAATTTATTGCAGATTTCGATTGGTCTCAGCAAGACCTTTTCAACGAGCGGTCGGAAAGGGGGTTCAGGAGCCCGACTTCGTCTATTAGTCACATCAGGATCTTGAAAAAAGGGGGTCGACCGACTGAAAATTTTTACTTAAGTTTTCGATAGGTCTTGGCAAGACCTCTTCAACGAGGGGTCGGAAGGGGGGTCCAGGAGCCCGCCTTCATGAGTTATGGGGAAAAGTGCGACGGACTCGTTTTGCGCTCCTGCTGGGCCTCTATTGCAAGGAGTTGCAGTAGCATGGCAAACATGGGTATTTTCGGAATGAGGGCAATGAGACAAATGAAATAGGCATATTCTAAGGACAGTTGGAGTAAAAAGTGTAAGGACTATTGCATATTGTGAATAGAAGGGGGGGGCTAAGTCACGATGGTACATCGATAACTTTGCTTTACCCGCTCGCGGTGTGTGTGATGCGAGCGGGCCGAAAGCCCGGGCCTTCGACTGGCCAAGTTGGGTCTGATGCGAGGGCCGAAGGCCCGAGAAAAGGCCGCCGGCAGGCCAAGCTGGGCCGGCCCCCTGTCGAACCGAGTTGCCGGCGCAGCGAAGCGGAGCTGGCAACTCGGTTCGACGGAAGGGCGGGCCCTAGCTTGTTTGAGGGGATCTCGCCCATTTGTACGGTTTGGTTAGGTTAGCAGCCTGCCGAAGCCTGCCAGGCGTGGATTGTCGAAACTGGCGCAGCATCGCGAAGCCTGTTACGACAAGCCACTGTCTGGCGTACACCTACCTGAGGTATGGTACTATAGGTAGGTGTAACGCTAGACAGTGTTTTATCGTAACAGGCTTCGCGATGCTGCGCCAGTTTCGGCAGTCCACGCCACGCCTAGCGTTTACACCACCTTTGCCTGCGGCGCTAGCCTGCTGCTTGCCTAAACAAACCGTAGAAATGGGCGTGATCCGGACCGAACATACCATTTGGTGATCAAAATCTACATTAATGAGACTGAACTTTTGTCGCACGGTAAAAACGGAACCTGGTTTTCCCAGGCCAATGGTGAAGGCATAGGCGACTTCCAGGGAGTTCCTGGGAACACCAGGAACTGTTGTTACCGTGCGGGGGTCAGAATGGGTTCTATTTTCGTCATCAGCACCCTCAAACACATACGGAACGATATGAAATTTGACGAAAAATTGGAAGTACCTTATCTTTTGTCTGCCGTTTTTAAAGAGTTTTAACCTCAGGGATTGAGATAGGAAGCTGAATGTTGGTGTGTGCCGAGCCAACGATATAACTAATGGCCTTGCAAAATCTCAGCCGAATCGGCCGAGCCGTTTAGTGCGGACAGACACACAGACAGAAAAATCTTCCCAACCCCACCCGAGTGCCGGGCTTCGCTTTCGCTCAGGCATCAAGGGGTGCCGATATCTTAACATTAGTTATCGTGGGTACTTACCTCACCTCACTGCGCTCACTTTGAGTGATCTGTCAATCACGCCATAGGAAGAAGATCCGCAGCGAACTCAGGTGAGCCACTCGAGATAGCGGCGGCTGGTTTCAGTATTAAAGATGAGGCACACGGTCCCTGTGCATCAGTCAATCAACATGGCCCGGCTCTTGGTGCTCTCAGTGCTTCTTTGCGCAGTGGCGGCGCAGATTGGGGTTCACGCAGGTGAGTGGCGGGGTGGACAGATCAGGGGACCGTCATCATCATAAACGCTGTTAGGCCTCTACAGACCTTCAGCGGTTCGAGTCAGCAAGAGATCCGACCTCGCACGGCCTGTCCGCAACCTCTTCTTTGGTCCCGAACCTGTCTGTTGCTCGATCACGAGACAAAGAGACCACTGGTATTTCTAATGTGATAAGTTTCATTCAATTTGCTGCGATAAAAAGGCTAGTGCGATTCCTTCAAATTATCGCATCTGTGGCAGCAATAAAAAAAATATTGCATTAAAAATGCAATAAGTCCCTTAGGTTTTGGCCGGTCTGGGCCCCAGATTATCACAGCTTTGGTGTGATAAAATGATAACTACGTTAATAATGCGATGAATGCGCTAATGCAATACAATAATTATTTCACAAATAATGCAATAACTTTTTCATGGCTCTACTAATGCAATAAGAATGTTATTGCTTGTTAAATTAGTTCATTATTACACTTAGAAAATCAGTGACGGTTCACCCTCGCACGTGTCATTCAGGAGCTGTCGTAGCGTAAATATTTTTATTTGTCTAGAATTGCCCTTTGTTACGAACTGCCCAAACCTCCCTAAATTGAAACTGAAGTTCTGTGTCTCATCTTCAGTTCCTTTCTGCAGTTCTTCACTCCCCTTACACCGTATTCAAGTGTCGTCAGTTAGCTGCAGTCAGTTATGGGTTTTAAAATGGATTTTCAGTACGCATTTATTCCAGCATGAAGTTTGAATTGGTTTTAATGGATTGCCGACAAACTTCGACGAATTTCGTTAAAAAATATCCCTGGTATTTGAACGTTTGCTCTTAAGGTAGTTCGAACGAGCCGCCGCTAGTCAAACGAGAGTCCGATTTTAAATTATGACTTTTTGAGCATGACAAAAATACAAGAAAGATGCTGCGCACTTAGAACCGCTTCAAAGCATATTTGGGACCCGCTGAATAGGGATATAAGCAAACAAATGTTTTGAAGCGCGACTTAAGTTGTGCACTTGACTTCAGTCTCGGCTGCTAAAACAGATATTTTGAGGCTGTATATGATAATTAGTCCGGTGAGGCATGGTTTTCTTTATGTCAGATGAAAGAGTGACTTAAAATGCGATCAAATCTCCTTGGTTAAACGATTAAACTTAATGGGAAGAATGGAAGAGAGAATAAACATAGTGCTTCAGTGGGCAACATAACCTCAACCCCATAGCAATAATGCAATTTTTAATTCCTCAGTAATCGTAATTTTGGCCGGTGACCGGGGTTGTCCTTCAGCGGGTGAATAAAATAGGGTGTAGGGAATCTACTCAACAATTTTCATGTTCTTTTTCTTAACTTTCGCCTGGTCGTTCGAACTACCTTAAGTTCAACTTTCAAAGCAATTTTTTTAGGTTCCGAGTTTGTTGTTTTTTAAAGCAGATGCAATGCAAGCCTTGGACCCAATGAATGCAAACTTGCCCCTGCCGCAGTACTAACGAAACACGGGAAAAGTTCAGTTGCACTCTTAAGCAGGCAGCCTCCACCCTTTCGCACCGCAGACGTGAGGGAAGCACGAACTCAACAAAACTGACCTCTCTGTGACAGCGGCTGGACCATGGTGCAGGATGACCGAGTTGACTTGCGGCGACCGCAAAGCGTGCTACTCGGTTGTCGGAAGGTGCGACGGTGAACAGGACTGCAGTGATGGCTCCGACGAGGCCGGCTGCGATGGTGAGTGGAAGGGGAACGCAACCCGAGAGAGAGCGCATGGCACGCTCAGCCTGGGAGATGACCCTAGCATACACTTGTGCAATTTTGACGTGGTGCTGCATTATTTTAAACCTGTGTGAAGCTTTCCATGAAAGTGTGCTCAAATTTACATAAATTTGTGCGTTTATACGTGCACTGTTATCCAAATTTAACGCACGCACAAAACCGTGCATGTTACGCGTACAAAATCAGAGTGAAGGTACCGCGCTTTGGCAAGCACGCTTTAGGATGAAGCATACCTAGGCATTGCCACACAAACTTTCAATTGTAAACATTGATTTAGAATGAATCTGATAAATGGCCAAGAGACTTGGTCTACGGCCCTGAAACAACGTTTTCTATCAACACGCTTCCTGGCGAATGCTTGTTATGCAGGCTGTAACCCGAGGGGTGAATCACTGGTGTTGTACTGTATGGGCTGATGTATGTTTTATCGCAAGAATCTAATAGTGCAGGTAGAGCGTGCCATGCAATCTCGAGTAACTTGAGTGTCTCGAGTATTTCTCTTAGAGCCCCGAAGTGACCCGACTCTGTTCGCAGGTATCCCCAGCGTGGTCCTGGCCGTCAACGCCACGGTCTTGGTGCAGGCGCAGTACACGAGGCACTACCAGCACTACGACTCAAACAGCGTGGAGCTTCTGCTGTGCGGCAGCGAGTCCTGCAGCCGCGTGGCGGTGTTCGGCCACTACAACGACGGCAGGCTGGGCACCTCCACGTGGACGGGCTGCAACCTCTACGGCAATGAGTGCGCCCGACAGGAGTCGGTGAGTGCGACCGCGAGGCGCAGAGGCGGCGTCGGCCTCACAGTAAATTGAAATGGCAGAATCCGTAACGGTTCGGCACAGAAACCACCAGTAAATGATTCTGAATTTGGTAGTCACAGAAACTGGCATGGGCTAACAGAAACTGACAAAGGCTCCGCAGAAACTGGAACGGGCTCACAGAAAGTGCTAATGGGTGGTCTCGCTGGCCAACCTAACCTCACTGTGTCTCTGGATGCTTTTGTTGTTTTGGACATCATTTACATATTCTGATGAGTGTGCATACTTTTTCTTGCTTTGACAAGTCTATAAATTAATATTTTCCTTACGCGGTGCATCTACACTCTTTATTTCCAATAATATGACATCTCAAAGTCGCGAGGTGGAGGCAATCGCAATTGACGATTACGGTGCAGTGTTGTCCGGATTCCGTGGCGAGTGCACGGATTCCGTCGCCTGTGTGCAGAATGGGTTTGCCGTTGGCGGTTTTGGTGCAAAACCGCCCCGGATCTATTTACCTGTCGGTTTCTGCGATTTGGGGCTCTCAGACCACTACAGATTCTGCCATTTCAATTTACTGTGCTGACTCGAGACTACACCGTCACCTTTCCAACTTCTTTTAGGCCGCGGCAATTTGTAACAATGCAATACGAGTTCACTGTTTCGATAACTGAGCAGTCATTGATGTTATCGCAATGACGTTAATCGCTTTTGAAAAATAAAGGCGCCAAGCGTTAACGCGCAAGAAATTTTGGCGTCGTTTATTAACGCCGTTGAACCGTTCTTTAAAGTTTCCTCCCCTGCGCAGGGTTCCCACGGCTACGTGCACGAGCTGCTCTCCGGCGAGGTGGCGGTCGAGGTGCAGCGACGCGCCAGCGAGCTGGCCGTGTGGCGCCAGGGGCATCCCGAGGACGTCGTGACGGTCCCCATCGAGGCGGACTTCCGCAAGCTCGTCGTCAGACCTTTCAAGATGTGGAGCGACATGCCCGTCCAGTTCACTGGTGAGTCACGTTCTGCGCCCCAAGTCACTGAAGATTTGAGTGAGAACACTCCAATAGTTGGGTTTGTCGCCTGCTCCACTGTCTAGGGCGTCAAGTCGCTCAGAGTTTTGGACACCTTTGTCGCCTAGTCTCCGGGAACACAAATCATTCCACAACCGGCTCTTTCCCATGGAGTATCCCCACCCCTTTTCAGCTCTACGGGCGCGTCATGTCATTTGACACCCCCGGCCTACTGACAGGGCTAGCGCGCCGCTGGAGACGCTAACAATCCGCTTGTTTTGTTTGCAGAGCTTTGAGACATAGTCGGCTACGACTTCATGCGGACAATCCACGTTTAAATCAGGCCTATCCGGTTCTACGACGCCCGTTGGCTCCACGGGATGGCGAGTGCTTTTTCGCCAACAGACACCTAAAAAACTAGTGGAGCGTTGTGAAAGTTTGCATTAAACGAGAAGTGAAAATATATTTGTTTTTATTTTCCTGCCGACTTAAGGGCGTTTTTCTGTTGGTGTTGTAGCTTGTGGCGGGATAAGGTTCGACCGAAGACTGAAGTATGTACAAGGTAAGCAAATGGACAAGAGAGGGGATACGAGAAGAACAAAAATAAAAATCAGTACTACCAACTGCTGAAAACAAACACTTCCCCATAAATTTTGAACCAAATAAATCTACAAGACAACGGCATACAAAATTTACGAGCATGAAGATAAGTGTTAACAAGCTTTCACAAATGTGTACACTGAAACTAGGTAGACGAGACTTTTCTCTGAAAAGGCTATACAAAATGGCATCGCCAAGACAGGGCGATACAGAAAAGCATCGCCAAAGGAATGGACATACACAAAAGAATCGCCAAAAAAGGGCGATACTCAAATGTGGTAGGATAAATGGAATTTCTTTGACTGCATAGGAGACTGAGAGCCCAATGTCTATGGTATGCATTCAGAGATACAGTGCAGACAGATGGTTAGCAACGGCAGTTGCCCGCCATCACACACTGATTATGTTTAAAAAGAAATGAAAAGCAATAACTGACTTTTGGACGTCTCTTGATTCTCTCTTGTTACAAAATTATTATACACTTAAAGTGAAGGCGGTGATCCATTCGTCTAGACAGTTGTTTTTTTGTGATTTTTTTTGTGATTAGAACAAAACTTGGAGAAAAAGAAAAGTTTGCCCTCGAAAAAATGTTTTGAGGCGCCATGTTACAAGGTAGGTTTACGCCAGACCGCGTCTTGTCGTAACAGGCTTCGCGATGTCTCGCCGCCTGTTCCTCCAATCCGCGCCTGGCGTACCTACCTTGGCCTGCGGCGCTAGCCTGCCTTCGGCTGGCAATGGCTTGTCCATCGTCGGTTACTTGTAACTTGATGCATGCTGGGGGGCTCCGCCCCGCAGACCCCTCTTCACCCCTTCATTCTAGATCCCTTGTAACTTTTTAACTTGTCGGGGCTGGGGGGCTCCGCCCCACAGACCCCTCTTCTTCAAGGCAGAAGTGATCTGTCTGCAGAAAACTCGATTTTTCGCCGTTTTTAGGTGTTTTTCGGCTATAAAAACTGAACCAGTTGAGCTAGGATAGTGAAATTTCGCGTGTGCCGAGCCAAGGACATGCCCAAAAAGTGTGCAAAATCTCACTGAGATCGGCCGAGCCGTTCAGGAGGAGTAGTGCGGACACACACACACACACACACACACTCAGACGGACAGACAGACAGGAAAAACTTTTCAACCCCAATGGAGTAACAGGCTTCGCTATCGCTCAGCCAAAAAAGACGTTTCAAGAGGTGCTGATCAAATAGAGATAGTTGAAAAAAATATTTTTCTGGACCCAAACCCACTTCAGTTCAGTGGTAAAATGACCCAAAACTTGAACTGTTCACAGTTCCGCTAATAATTGCCTGAGATGGCTGAAATTTTGTAGGGGTGTTTACCTATGGTTAGGCACCATTTCAGCCAAAGATGAAAGAAATTGCCGATGGTCTACTTCGAACGACCCTCTTGAGCTCAAATCTTCAGTAAAACTAGTGAAATTGAGCAACTTTGAGAGCCCGTAGCGTCCAACCCAGACGTCGTAGAGCCTCGCGCGACCCGGCAATCGAAAGAGCGCACCTTTTTCTTTAGCAAAAGACACTTTGGTAGATTTTTCGGTCAGCAGGTTCCGGGGTCCCAAAAAGCCCAAAACCCTAAAAAAACAGCCATTTTTGGGTTTTCTACCTCTACCGAAAAGCCAATCGGTGTGGGATCCGGCCCTCCCGGCCCTATTTGAGTTGCCGCAATTCGTATTCACTAGAGGAACAAAAAAAAACCGGGAGGGAGCCAGATCTAAGGGGGTCCCCGGCCAAGGTTTTTTTTTTTTTTTTTTTGTCTGGAGCTGCTTGCCACAACATACGGAACGTGCTTCGGCTGGAAGATAGGCTCATGGGACAAGCAATAGCGTGTCGTGTCCGTGCCCCTTATTCCTGTCGTTTGTTCACGTCTCACATCTCGACCGGAACAGCACGTCAAGGGAATCGTTTTCGTCTCCTACTTAAGTCCCATTGTTCGTGGGCTTGCCACAGTCGGGGACTTCTGCATCCGGTGTACGCGGCGCTCCTTTCGGGTAAGTCAGACACACCACTCCGCATGATTTAAATCACAAATTCTAGAAGGCATGGAGCTCACTTTCATGTTTCGTAAAGGCAACGTTGAAATGAACATATCGCGGTTTTCAAATTGATCCCCAATGCAAAAGTTTGTTGTAGTGGGTAGAGCAACAAAGTTGATTGTCAAACATGAATTTTAGAGCCCATGATGAAGAATTTCTTCCTCTCATGTAAACAAAAGAGCTTTCATTCCTATGACAGCAAGATGGTGATGGATTTTTAATCTGTAACTGTATGTTAGCCAGTATTATCACTTCGTCCCGTCTCAGTAGAAACTTGAGAGTGATGTCCAACGTACTCATAGTAATAATTTTCATGCTCTTATTTCAACCTAAGAATAGTAAAGATATTTGCAGCAGCTCAACAAAAGGTTCATATTACAGCGCTTTATTATTGAGCACAGAGAGCCGTTAATGGGAGGTAGTTTGACTTAAACAGGGTTGGATGTCTTCTTGACTTCGCCCATTTCCAAATGAATTTGTTATGTGTGTTGATTCATTTTGAAAAATGCATCACTCTTAAAGCATGGTTCTAATGCATCTACGTTTTGTCGCATCCCCCAGTCCAGAATGCTGCCCTGCAAGCTTGGGGGGTTGGTGCCCCTCACCCTGCTCGTCGTGGTCAGCGGGCTGCCCTCTGCTAACAGCCAAGTCCAGTCAGGATCAGGCACGTATTTTTTCAAGATGTGGCGTACCCGCAGCCCACACCCTTCTGTCTCTGACACAGTTACGTACTGGAATAAAATTTGCACGTTTCACTTAATTTTGTGCATGTGTTCAGATTTGAGCGCAGAATCGCGCACATTCGTGTGAAATTGCGCAAATCAGTAAGTAAAGCACGCATGCTGAAAGTTGTGTGAGACTGTGTTGGAGCAAGCGTCTCTAAGAGCGTGTTCATGTTCTGAAGTTTTGTATGTGGGTTCAAAAACTGCAAGATCTTTGAATCTAATCGCGAGAAGACTCAGAGAAGACTGAAGCAAAGGGGTCCATGGGAAGCCTTAAAAATGTTTTGACCACCCTGAAAACGTGCGAAAATGGGCAAAAGCCGGTCGCTTTAATTTTTAACAAAATCTGTACCGTAGTTGTGGGTAATATGGACCACTTTTCGAGGTTATTTTAGAAGTTTTGAAAACTGAAGCCGCGGTCTTGCCAGTTTAAATATATCACCTACCATCCTTCCCGCTTGTTTTGGCCCAAACGGCATAGTGATCCGTATTACCCCCTATGTAGTGTGGGGTAACATGGACCACCCCAGGAATTTTTCAGCTATGAAGGGTGATTCGGGTTTCCAACTGGCTTCTAAGACTTTAAAAAACTTTTTTTTTTTAGTATGTTGGTCTGGCGCGCCTCCGGCCCCATCCATTTTCCCTAGGTATCTGGGGCACCATAGTGTGTGGACACTCCATGCGTAAGATAAAATTCAATTCTGTCCCATCTAGTCGTGAGCGTGAACCCAGTCACGGGACTCGTGAACCCGATCGGGGGCATCACGGACCCGCTCCTGAGCATCCTAAACCCAGCGGTGGAGGTGGTTGCCGGACTGGCGCCCATCCCCGGCGCCTTGCTCGGTGCCGTGTCGCCCTACACGGCTGTACTCAACCCGCTGCTTCAGACCGCGCTACTGCAGAACAACATCACGCAGTTCTCCTCAGACATCGTGACAAACCTCTCGGCCTTGGTGGCTCTAGTTGCCAACGCCGCGCTGCCTGTGCCCCCGTACCTCCGGCCGGTAAGCTGGACTGTGGATGAATCAATCATTCCACAAACTCAAGAGTGTACTCATGGAAAAAATCTGCACAGTGACAGTAGTTTCAGTGTCCTGATCGCCCTCTGTCCATTCTCACCAAACAAATCGGGTACTCATTCAAACTCGAGTATAGTTCGGCACCCAAACCGTGAGTGGCGTGTACACACTCTCAGCCTTTTACTGACTATATCTCATTGGCAGACGCATTTCTGTAAGCATTTTTTTTTAAATTAAGAACAAAATACGAAGTATTATGATTGCTTACAGAAATGCGTCTGCTATTGAGAAACAGTTAGGAAACGGCTGAGAGTTCAATGATGTTGTGCCCACTGTAGACACGAACTGTTGTGAGCTACCTGTGCATATTAGTACGGGCCCGCGGGCAACGGGCCGATCACGCGAATGATTATTGACAACCCCTGACATGCTATGTTCCTTATATCACATTATACTCTACAAATCGAAGAGCTTACATTGTATGCTCTTACAGGAGCATGCCTGCAAGCGCGCTCTAGCTAGCGCATGCCTGCCAAGCATGCATTTACTAGTGCATACACATGCCATGTACACGCTTCCCGATGCAGGCAACTCCCTATCCCTTACGCACTAGATGCATGCTTCAGTTGGCGTGTACATGGCATGCATGCATTAGTCAGTGCATGCTTAGCAGGCATGCGCTAGCTAGAGCGTGCCTGCAGGCATGCTCCAGTTAGAGCATACAATGTACGCTCTCCAATTTATAGAGTACTACGACGGTCTAAAAAAGGATGCCAACATTGAAAGATCGCACAACAAGCCTACCTGTCTACCTAGTACACTTACAGACGCATACTTGTCGAAGTGCACACTTGAAAATGCATGCTTGGCAAGTCGGACACACTTACAAATGACATGGAGTTATGCGGCGGCAAGCATGCCTTTGTGTGACTTCGCGTTTGTGAGTGTGCACTAATTAGACACTTGGGTTTAGGTTTGTAACGCGTCGATAAAATCATGCAGTTGCAGATTGAGAATTTGTGATTGTTTCGTGGTCAGCAGCGCTCACTTAGAGACGTTCTTATACAACACTAACGGTCTCCGAACGTTCCTCGCATTTTAGTCCTACCAAACCTTTACTTCAAGACGCTCGTGACGCTTTGGCTGCCTTTTGGTTCCAGGACCAGGAAGCGCCGAAATTCGGCTTTGTCGGAGAGGCCTACAACGTGACGACTTCGGACGGCTACATCCTTGGAGTGTTCCGAGTTCGTAACGGAACGTGCCGCTCGTATCGTTCTGTGGTTATTATCCCGCCAGGGATCCTTTCCAATGCGGCTTCCTTCATCTACATCAAGGAAAACAGCCTGGGTTAGTCGTGTGAATCGACCAGTACGCGGTTTATACATTAGTTTTGCAAACATGATTTTTAATAGCAAAACAGAGTAAATGGCACACAAAAAGAGCTAAGCACATAGCATGTATGGTGCGGTGCGATGCATTCAGACAACACACCATAAGTTTACTCACTCTAAATCCAAAGGTGATACTTTTAGTATCTTCTATGGCGATACAGTCGAGTATCGCCAACAAACGGCCTTACCGAAAAATCTTGCCTTCGGAACGGCGATACACAACAGTATCATCGCCAGTTTGCAATGCAAATAGAACGCACCCGTATTGCAAGTCAGTTGTTCGCAGCTTGCGAACAAGTGCTTCGCAATTTGCGAACAACCCATTGCGAACCCTTGCAAGCACATCGATTCCAAGATGGCGAACTACTAGCTCATAAAACAATCGAGCCAAACCCTTCGCACGCTGAAGATGCTTGGATTTCTCGAACCTCCTACCGAACCCTATTGCTTCGGAAAATCGATCCGAATCGAAGTCAGTATTATTCGATTCGGATTCGAGAGATTTGCTCATTATTTGACTTATGTGTGACTTTGCCGATGGGACTCTGCTTTCAGTATACCGTCTTGCGCGAGAATGTAACGACGTTTGGCTGTTCACTTTCCGAGGTTACTTATTTGGACGTGGTCACACACTTCTCAGCGACACCAGCTCTGCATTCTGGGACTTCTAGTAAGTGCAGGAGCCTACTTCGCTCCTGAAGAATTCGACTTTTTCTTTGCAACTTTTACAACACAGCTACTTTTACAGTCCTTAACGTGTGATGTGTGTTTGTGGCACGTAACAACCTGTGGCAACTGCTTCCTCATAGCGCTGAACGTGTTGTATTGATCGAATGCCAGTCGTTAGTTTAATTATTTATCATTCAGAAATCAAAGTTATAGTTCTTTCCATCCAAATTATGAGCCCTCTAAGAGAGTCCTGTCAATGAACAGAGCCCAGACGTGACCCACAGTAAAGTTTTGTGTACAATGATATGTAAATATGCAAGATTTCTGGCGCATTTGCCACACAAGTTGCCTTCTTACAGGAGTTTTTGACAACTCAGTGGGTTCAAATTTTGTACGATAGATGTGAGAAGTTCTCGCCCCTCGGCTAGAGCAAAGTCTTCGTCCAGTAAAGAGCACGAAGAATCAGAGAACTGGAAATAGCACCGCCACCTAACCTCACACTCTTAAAAGCATACGAAGCCTTTGCTTCGTAACTACGAAGAAACTGAAGGCGTTGTCGAATTATTGCTTCGTATTATTGCTTCGTACAAGGATTTTGCTTCATAATACGAAGCATTTCTTTGTACATTTTACAATGCCTTCATTTTCTTCGTATTACGAAGTGATTCTTCGTAGAGTTTTTACTGTGCACAGTGCGTTAGCTCCAGAGATTCCCGAAGCGTCTCTCATTCAAAAGCAATTTAAACTGTTTCAAATACTTTTTTGCGAAGGACAGGAACATGTTTGGCTTGTTACCTCTCTTTCCTCCTTGCTTCGAGTTTTTTTATTCCTCGTGTTATTCGATCAGACGCGACAGAAAACAAGGACATTTGTCAACATTTCTCCCTATTACCGGTATCGCCACCTACTCACTTTTCATCCGGCTTCCTCTGTCCCGACGTCTAGAATGTTCTTTCAGTGCGTCTCAGGTGTTTACTTGTCAGGAATGCAGTATACTGTTGTCCATCGAATGTGACATCACGTTCGTAAGTTTAAATTGTGTCCACGTTCGTGTGAAATATGAGGTACCATTAGTTGAAAAGGGGCAGGCGCTCCTTAACTAGGGGTACGCGCCGTTTAGTCTGGGCGCGTAGTGTGGCTGAGCGATGCGAATTGACATGGTTTGTGCACTTTGGACTTTGCTTGAGAAGACGAAATGTGCATCTTAAGGACTCATATTGAGTGAACTTTAGACCAGGGGTACAAATGGAAGTGATTTTCGTTATCAGAACACCAAAAACTGCTGGGATCAATGCCAAACTCGATTTAAAAATTTTGGTCCAAAATTGGTTAAAATTCGGTTAAATGTGAGTCTGGGAAAAGTTTGAAGGTCATTTTTGAGTTCAGCACACCAAAAACTGCAGGAAACAATATAAAACTCGACTTGAAAATTTTGGTCCAAAATGACCTAATTTGGGATGAAAATATAAGTCTGGAGTCGAAATGAGAGTGATTTTCGTTATCAGCACACCAAAAACTGCTGGGATCAATGTCAAACTCGATTTAAAAATTTTGGTCCAAAAATTGGTCAAAATTCGGCTAAGTGTGAGTCTGGGAAATTTTGGAAGTCATTTTTGAGTTCAGCACACCAAAAACTGCAGGAAACAATATAAGACTCGACTTGAAAATTTTGGTCCAAAATGACCTCGTTTCGGATGAAAATATAAGTCTGATGTCAAAATGGAAGTGATTTTTGCTATCAGCACTCAAAAAACTGCAAGAATCAATGTGCAATTCAATTTAAAAAATTTGACCCAAAATCGGTTAAATTTTGGGTCTGGGGACTATTTAGAAGTCAATATTGAAGTCAGCGCACTGAAAACTGCAGGGAAACGCATGACTCTCAAATTAGAAAGTTTCGCCCCAAATTGCGTAGCTCTAGGTGAAAGTGTAGGTTTGGCATTGAAATAAATGTAGCTTTTGTGACTAGTACACTGAAATCTACAAACAACTATCTAGACTCAATTTCTGTACATTCCTACACTGTCTTCATGAAGCACCCACTGTCATCACCAATTCCCTGATGCCACACCAATGTGAATCCCTCAGTCGAGTAACATTCAATTGCCAGCATTGAATCGCTTAATTGGTTACTCGTATGATTGGGTCACTATTCGATATCTCTTTTTTCTTAACTAATGAATTCTCAATTTTATAAGTAATATCTATGAAACATTTTGTCATTCTTTCATTGTGAACCAGTGAATAAAACAATATTGATTGGAACATGTTATCACAGTAAATATTAAGAGAGTCAGTTTAGGGTAGGCTGATCTAAACCAGTTAACGGGGACCAATTATTGTCAAATCCAGTGATTCGTCACATAGAGTCCAATGCCAAGGCTACCCAAGGCTTAATGAACCGACATAATTTATCTTACTCATGTAAACAATACTGAGTAGTACCAGTTATATTAACTTCGGTGAAGTTAAAGGAATCGTCTCACTAAATCCAATCACCAATTCACTCACCGCTCAAAACCTGAGTCGTCTCTTTGAAACCAATATCAATTCAAACTCTATTAGGATTAAATATACACAACCATACATTGATTCTATTAATAAACTCATGTTAGTGCTTTTGTACTCTTGTCAGCTTGCAGCATTGCAATAGAATGAATTTCTCGAGTCCAAACTAAGTATGCCAGCTAATTTCAACACAAGTTATTTATGCATTTCCCTGATTTCCTCTACTGTGAAAATTTAAAAAAGAGGATGACACTATAGAAAATGAAACAAGTAGATGCCCACAATACAAAAGGTCAAAATAAAAGCATTCTTTTTACACTGCTCTGTCAAAGTGCACTGACCTGAAGAAGATTCCCTTCGAAAGGGGGAGGGGGGAGAGGGGAACGAAACACGTAAATCATTTTCACTGCCATTCTCCATATTTCGCTGTGTTGATACTCTAAAATGGTTTTAATCATTCTAGAATGTGGAAAAACTATGGCCGATCTCATTTCCAAACCCTTCTGCTCGTTATTTTGTTTTATTTGCTTTTGCTTCTGTCCCGTATTTGAGAGCCGAGGCCGCAGGTATGAGAAATTCGTGAGTGCTGAGTGCTGCCAACCTAACCATGCTAATAACCTGATTCAAAAGTATGTTTTGAATATTTCAAACGATACTAAACAACGATTTGAAACAAACTCGTGTTGGGGGGTACTAAGGCGACGTTAAATACGAAATCTTGAAACTATAGCCACTGTAGTTGCTGAGAATCGTTGGTGAGTACAAACACACAGACAGACAGACAGACAGACAGACTCACGACCAGTCACTTTTCAGCGCGCCCAAACACGGCAAGGGCTTCGCTATCGCTCAGCCAAAAAATTTGTGACAAACGTTCTAACATGTGTTGAACGAACGTGTCGTTTTATAGGTTGCAAAACAGTGCGTCCACTTAGACTGTTGATCTCAGGAATTTGTTTTATCCACTGCAGTGCGTACCACTGGGGCGTCTACGACCTGCCGACCCAGATAGAGTTCGTCTACCGGAAGACGAACAGCACCACAATGCGCTACTTCGGCGTGGACCAGTCCGGCACCGCCCTGCTCTTCATGAACCACGTGCACGGCCAGCGATACCAGAGGTTCCTGGCAGGCACCTACCTGCTCGCTCCCATCGGCTACCTCGGACGTCTCAGGTCCTTGGTCTTCGACGCAATGGCCGTTCTGCGCGACGGCCTCACGGTAACGACTCTCAGCGACTTTTCACGCCAAGCGGTCTTTGGTAGCAGATGATACCAACACTCTTAAAACCTTGCAAACTGATGTGTTTGTAAGCTTGCGAAGACACTGGTTGCCAACGAATGTGACGTCATATTCGTTCGAATGTGAATTTTGTTACATTCGTTTGAATGTTGATTCACGTTCAAACGAATGTGACACCCTACTTAGACGGGACGAGTCACGTTCAAACGAATACGACATCATATTCAAACGAACGTGACAAAATTCACACTGCAACGAATATGACGTCACACTCGTTGGCTATCAGTGGAATATCACCTGTTCGCAACGCGAAGAACGCATCTGTATTGCAAATCACTAGTTCGCAAACTGCGAACAAGTGCTTCGGTGCTAGTTTCGAGGGAATCGGAGAAGTTTGGCCCCGGGTTCAAATCCCAGTGGGGTAAACGGCCATTTTTTATTCAAGATTTTGCATGTTTCATGATCATGTTATTTTCGTCATCAGCAACATACATCTATTTTGACCCCAGGCTCAGGTTTAAATCCCTTATGGATTAAACATAGGCGAAACTCGCACATTGTCTAAATGTACTCCACGGGTTGCCGATGTTTGTCGCTACTTCTCCTGCTTTTATGGATCTCATTTTGCTGATATGATTTTTTCATCAGGCTGCCGGAGCATTGGTGCTGCACAACGAACTGGCCTTCATGAACCCAGCCATACACTCGGTCCTGTACAACTTGTGTGGCCGCATCGCCCCCATCACATGTTACTACATTTTCCAGATCCTCGGAGGAAACAGCAGAGAGATCAACTACGTGAGTTGACAGAAAAAGATGGCGTGCGTGCTCACTGAGAAGGATGACGTTGGTAGAGAAAAGTACGCTAAGGAGAGGATGACCCGTGTGGCCTACAACATTACACTGCAAATCTAAGTGTAGGACAGGCATGCACTGTGTCCCACGTTATATACTGCATGCCTGTCCCACACTTGGATTTGTAGTGTAGACCGCGACATCAATTTGAAAGATATTTCACACTCAGATTTTCATGTGAAGTTGACTGCAGGAGGGATGGCTCAAAGTCAAGATATCAGCTCCATAAGGGTTGTACTCTTCTTGCCTTGCCTGTCCCAACTTACCCCTGCCTTTTCGAAAGTACGTGTTTAGTTTAGTGCACTCTTTCAAGTACGTGCTTGGTTGAATGCATGCATCTTTAACTGCGTGCTAAGGTATACCTGTGTAACGCACAGAGTGCTCTAAAAGCGAGCGTTTTCAAGCGTGTACTGAGAACACACGCAAGCTTTATGAGAAGTTGTGCGACCATGTTTTGAAAAACAATTTTCTATCTTCGTCCCTCTAACCCAAATGAAATTTATTTCATCAGCCTTTCTTCCCCTACGCGTTTGCGAACTTACTGGACAGTACGTCGATAACTGCTTTTAACTATTTCCTTCAACAAGTTGGCAGAAGTAAGTACAGCAGTTTCCTGGTGCGTGCTCATATCCTCCGTGACGCAGCACTCGCGGCTAATTGTGACGTTGTTCGGTCCAGTTAAGTACATGAAGTATTACGACTACGGGCCGGCTGAGAACTTGAGGCGATACAACCGAACCACCCCTGAAAACGTCAACATCAATGCGACCACTGTGCCATGCAACTTCTACGCCCTCGGCAGCGACACTGTGACTGTGCCAGAGGTGAGACTGAAACGTAAAATGGGGTCACAAGACCGCCACCCGCGGTTCTTCCGATCACACCCTTTTCATTTCAAATCGCGCGGCTTCTAGGAGCCGCCAAGTCTGAGAAGAGGAATGCAGTTTAGCATACTTTCTATCTACATTCTTGAAAACGAGAGTTCCTCTAAGGAGCTTCCATTTTCTCAGTGAAATCTCTATACTTCAACTGAACGTTCTCTTCTTTGGCAGGACGTCCTCGACACCTGGAACGCCCTGGCTCCGTCTGCCCGCGCGACTTACCAAGTGCTGGACAAGTACAACGGCGTCAGTCCTTTCGTGCCGGTCGACTCGGAGGGCCTCTACGGTCCGATGATCCGCCAGTTGAACGCCGACCTGGCGCGGGGCGCTTAATTTGGAAGATCCTGCGACGTCTTCTGTTTTACAATACAATAAAAACAATTGAATTACTAAACATAGAAAAGACTAAATATCACTGAATATTCCTTATGTGGCCTTAAATTGCATCATTCTCAGTGTAACTATCAAGTCTGGTTCTAAATTTTTCAAGACGAAGCTTTACATTAGTCGAAAGATGACTGCTGACTCGAATAGAAGTAAATCTAGGTGAAAATCATTAACGAGTTGGTCTCTTTTGGACTCGTAAACTTTAATATCTCCCAAAGTATTTAGTTAACCGTATTGGCACTTGGCAGGTGAAAAGAGAACATAATATGAGTCTTTGGTGAAATTTTGAGCACTTTTGGTAATGACTTCAAATTGTCTAGAAACATTTTTTTATTTTTAACGACGAAAAAAAAATTTGAAAAAAAAATTTTTCACCAAAAATTTTTTTGACTCAAAAGGTACAGGTATACCAAGTTTGGTCCAAATCCATGAGGTGTTGGCAAATGGCTTGCCCTTTAGGTCTGGAATCTGCCCTAGGTGGGGCCACCTATTACGTCCTCTGCTTTTATTGTCCTTTGTCAATTTGTCCCCAATTTCAAGTTTTTTGAAGGTATATGGAGTATCCACTGGTAGTTTCTCTTTCCGCGCAGAATATAATCTGGACAACAATATTGTTATACTGCGGTGACAAAGCAGGAGTACCCCGCACAGTGGGCCAGGAACCATATTTTCGAGATCGTGAGGTAAAAATTCAAAGTGACTCCTTGGACTTCTTGACCCTGGATTCCTATTCTTAAATGGTCCATATCAAGTTTAGGTTTGCTCGCGGGACGACTCGTTCATGAGTGGAGGGGCAACAAAGTCAAATATTACACTCAAGAAGATTCTTTACATGTTGTGAGATAAATTCCACATTTTCTTCCGTTGTGTTTTACATACAAAACCAAGCCGACTGGGCTGCAGCCATCCTCTCGTACTTCTGTAAGAATATGTTATGAAGTGCCTTAAACTGTTCAGGATTCTATGGTCAGGGTCTGCGTATTGGGAACAAGTCATTTGTAACAAAAAACCCTAAAACCACCTTTTCGCGATATTAATTGGAGAGAAATGTGTGTTACTTTGCCTTACCAATCGCCCGATTTTGGTGTAATAGGTTGAGGAATATAGTGTGCCATCCAACCTTGAAAACTTTGAACTGTACTTCGGACGTAGCTGAGGACAGAAATAGGGACATAAGTCGGGTCATAGGACTGAGGACATATTAAAAAGGGACATTATGCCTGGGGACGAAATGAGTGAGGACGAATTGTCGCAGGGACGTATTCAATGGGGACATGAGAGCCTGTTCCCGACAAAAGCACCTAAGTCCACATGTTTTCTGACAAAAGAACCTAAGTCCAGCGTGACGTTTTCGGACAAATTAACTTAAGTCCACCCGTTTTCTGACAAAACCACTGAAGTCCACATGGACTTGAGTCGTTAGGACCAGAAAACTGGTGTGGATTTGTGCTCTTTTGTCAGAAAACGACTGGACTTAAGTTCTTATGTCCGAAAACGAATGGACTTAAGTTGTTTTGTCCGATAACGGATGGACTTACGTCAAACTGTGATATTAACTTGTAAATATTTCGGCGAGGAATGCTATAACTGGTCATCGAACATTTGGTATCGTTTTCTGAATACCACGTTATCTTTCACCTGAAATTTCATGACCATATTTGTCGTAACAAAGCTTTAAACTACTTAAAACTGTCTCCTGAAAAATTAACAGAAATGGACTTACGTCCCTTTGTCCGAAAAGCAGTGATATTTGTAGCAAAGGACGGTAGAGCCCGTTTCAACAATATTGCATGGTTACAAACGTGCAATAGTGTGAGGTGCTGATTAAAGATATATATCGCCGATACAGTGACGGGTTTTCCTATACCCCATGGGCCGAAAAAAACATTTGTAATAGGTAAAAGAAGTGTTTTGACAGGAAGACTTTTAAATCCCCGGCGATTTTCGGTGACAACGTTAGTCTGTGAATTTCCCGAAAGAAAAAACTCGTCCCACTTTACGGGTCCCAACGGTATCTTTCTTGGCTTCACCTTGGTCCTGATTATTCCACGTTCGCTGCGATACGAGAACATGCAACCTCGTATCGGGCGGGCCAAACCTGCGGTACGAGAACCAGAGGTCTGCAATGGACAGTCCACCCAGTTCCAGCGCTCCCTGTGGTGCGAGAGAGATGGCATGACTCGATTCCGTCGCTGAGCTTCACAAGTCGACTTGGCAGAGCGGCTTCGAATCCCGGCAGAAGCAATCATTTTTTTCGGTGTAAATGACTGTTTGTAACCGCGCAAAAGCAAGCGCTTGTTCCATACAGACGGCCGAACATCAAGCGGCTGCCACAGCAAAAAAATCCCTTAAAAAAATTATGGCGGTGGTCAACAGTTCTTGTGGATCCAATGGCTATGAAGCCAACAGTTCGGTTTGGTTTCAAGTGGCTTTGGTCGCGGAAGCTATCAGTTCGAGCCAGAACTGTCCATTGCAGACCTCTGACGAGAACATGCCGCCTCGTATTTTGCCAAAATTTTGATCTGGCCAGAACGAGGAAACGGGCACAGTAGGGAAGTGAGTGTTGAAATATGTGCCAGGCTTGGGATGTTTGCCTATTGAAACACAGCAATTCGGTTCACGAAACTTCACGTATTTATTGTGCGTTCACACACTCGTACAGAGACACACACACACCACAGATTACTCCGCGCACCGCGGGAGGTACTACATTATGAGAAATACTTCGCTACACTTTACACTTCTAGATGCTTCTAGTCTGTTCGGTTCTGTATGAGAAATTGCCTCATTCCAACAGTGAGGCCGAAAAACTTTTGACCAATACTCTCAGACTCGTATTGCCTTTTTATCGCGTGCCATAAAGGTTTCTGTGCAAACTTAATATGTACTATTTTCTCTTTAGCTATGCACTATTTTGTTCATTGTATAATGTATTTAGTCCATTAAGCCGGACTTTTTTGTACTTTTCAATTCCTCCATGATCTATTGACAATTTTATCTTGATAACGATCAAAATTGTGCATAGTTAAGGAGGAAATAGAACATACGTTTGCTCCAAACGCTATAAGCAAGGGAGAAAAAAAGTCCACATAGAGTGTACAAGGTGTCATGAAAATTTCGGCTGTTATTTCGACGTAATACGACCTAGATTAACGAAGCACGCCGTAAATTTACGAAGCCCTTCTCAAATTTACAACAGACTTTCTAAATTTACGAAGTTTCTTCGTAAATTTAACAGGAACCTTCGTAAACATCGTTATCCAAGTTGCGATACTTTCAACACAAAAACGTGCGATGATATCCAAAATGCGATTCTCAAGAATCACTGCTCCTGCGATGCAATGACTTCTGTATCGCACAAATCACTGCTCCTGCGATGCAATGACTTCTGTATCGCACAAAATTCTGCAATGATCATCGCAACTTTCTGCCCTGAAAATCGGAATTATTGCAAAAACACTGCGATAATGACAACACAAAATCTGCAACCATTACAGTTTTTTGCAATGATCATTGCAAAATTATGCGATACTGTAGCTCATCACACTTTTTGCAATGATAATCACAGAAAAGTGCGGTGAAATTTGCATTGCGCAGAAAGTGCGGTCTGTGTCGCAAGTGGAATAACAGTGAAGTAACGACAAACGTACGTTGGTTTACAAAAAGTCCTATAGGAAAGAAACATTTGGACATTTCCAGTGCCCTCCCCCCGACGGAAATCCTGGATCCGCGCCTGACTCGATTTGATGCCGAACTATTCGCACATCCGTAAGGTAAAAAATCAATTCCCTGACCTATTATGAACCTAAATCAGCAAGGACGTCCCGTTTTACCTCGTAATAGCTTCACGGTGGCAATTTGAAAAACAAACGATTTTTCGGCTCGTTGGATGGGCGCTTTTTTTCCCGACTTTTTGAAGGGCCTTTCTTTGAAGCCTGATAGGAGCTGTTACAGTCGTCGCTCGGACATACACGCTATTTGGGGAGACAAAGAAAGGTTGGAGGAAGGTCTACCGCGAAATTCAAATCGATTCAATCTCCGTCGGGGTTGCGGTGACCCGTCGAAAAAAATGGCCCACAATTGATTCGTGGCCCACAATTGATTTTTTACCTTTGTTAGCGTTCACATTACCGTTCAGCAAGCCAAACAACTGAACCCCGTCCCTTCGCGGAATCGACGTCAGGAGTGACGCCAATCCTATCTGGTCACGCCGATTCCGCCGTCGTGACTAAATACAGCGCCCAACGTGAGTCGAAACTATAACATGCCTCACAAACGTGTTTCGGCTAGGAGTTAGGCTCATGGGAGAAGCAAAAGCGTATCGTGGCCGTGCCCTTGTCCACCACTCGTTGGGTCACGTAGCACAACTCGACCGCATAACAGCTGCTCAGTGGAATTGTTTTCGTCGCATACTTAAGTCCCTAGAATAGCCGTTGTGCCACAGTGGTGGACATCCAGGTACATCCTGTGTACGCAGCACTTTTTAGGCAAGTTAGACACACCACACTACAAACCTAACTGTCTACTAAGTACACACTTACAAATGCGTGCTTGCAAGCACGCACTTACAAACGCATGCTTGGCCAAGTACACACTTACAAATGCATGCTTGCAAGTACACACTTACAAACGCATGCTTGACGCCGTTTAACTCCATGCGTCAAGCATGCGTTTGTAAGTGTGTTCTTGCAAGCATGCATTTGTAAGTGTGTACTTAGTAGACAGTTAGGTTTGCAGTGCACTCTCAAACTTTTAAATCAAGAAGGTCTCTGGATCACTCTACAAAAAATGTCCTGTCAACGCCGTTAATTTATTACCAATGTTTGCTGTTATGCAATTCACGGCGTTTGCTGTGAACTAGTTCACGGCGTTCACTGTGATCTCGGTCACAGTGTTCACTGTGATCTGGCCACAGTAAACGCCGTGAACTGGAGCCTGATTTGCAGTATTCGGTGCTCAGCGGCGTCAAACTCACAGTGTTTACTGGGGACCAGATCACAGTGAACACCGCGAACAAGATCACAGTGAATCCCGTGAGCAGATCACAGTAAACGCAGTGAAAACCGGTATTAAATTAACGGCATTGACAGGACATTTTTGGTAGAGTGGAGCTCGGATCACTCACGACTGCTCTTCTCACATGATGAAAGATGCCCGTTTCGACCATACACTCTCAGTCTCGTATTGACTTTTTATCTCTTGCCAACGCAACATGTACTATTTTCTCTGTAGCTATGCACTATTTTGTTCATTGTATAATGTATTAAGCCCATTTAACCTGACTTTTTGTCATTTGCAATGTACTTTTCAATGTCTACATGATCTATTGACAATTTTATCTTTAAAATTGGGCATAAAAGATAGTAAAGTTTATGTTTGCTCAAAAAACGTTGTAAGCAAGAGAGAGAAAAAAGTACATATAGGTCTAAGAGTGTATCGATCTCGTGTACTTATGCTTAGAAAGTCCTCTGTTTTCCGAGGTGCACTCTCAACTCAGGAACGTGGCATAGCGTTGAAACGAATGCGACAATGTCGCGTTCCATTGAGCGATGTATCATTGGCTTGAATGTGAAGAACCTAATCCATGGCTGATATACCTTCAAACGAAAGAGGCCCAATGTTTAAAGGAACGGACATCTTGTCGCATCCGTTTCAATGGATGTCACGTTCCTGGAACGCGTGTGCTCACAAAAAAAAATGGTTGAAAGATTTTTTGAATCAACGTGCGCTAATTCAAGAATGTCCTCGTAAAAAAAATTTCGGATAACGAGCTTTTTTCCATGAAGATAGAACACGAGGAAATAAGCAACGGGTCAGGTCGCTTTAAAAATAGCTCCGCATTGGTTCCAAATCAATTGAGGGCCGAAACAGCATACATTTTAGACGGCCGTAGCTCAGCAAACGAGATTGGCAGAAGATGCTGCTATGCTAGGTTAGGTTAGGGAATCTTATCTTTAACGTAAACGACCATAAGTAAGCGGAATGTAGTTCTACAAAGCACCACTGGTTTCTTTTATCTTTCCCCTCATAAAGAAAAATGTTGAGAGATTCTCAGTCGATGTAGGAGTAAAGCAGTAGGGACAGGTTCTCGGGCCAGTCGGGAGAGCCGAAGTGCTGACACCTGCCTAAATCCTCCATACCATGCGTCCCGAGCTTCGTAGCTAGCCCCGCGGTGGCACGTGGGTGCCCAGTCCGTCTCGCATTCTGGGACCAGCCCAGGCGAACCCGTGCCACCGAGTCACTCTCTCCTACACCGTGATGGGCCCGGTAACAAGATAAGCGATAATCGGCGTAACCTCAGCGCACTCTTTGGTAAGCCATGGCGTGGTATTTGAGCCGCGATACGCACTATGGCACGCCACTTTCGCACAGCGCCTTCTCGACGGAAGATCCGTGGGCTTTGCTGAAAGTCACAGTGACCAGCTGTTGTAAACGTCTTGTCAGCAGGTCGGTGTGTGTTTGAGACGTTCCACTTTCCACCCTCGTTTTCATAGTTAACATTATTAAAACCTTTGCACGCCTTGCAATCGAGTTTCCACCAGCTGATTTGCAAGGTTTCGAGTCGGTCATGACAATTTTGAAGGGTGACTCATGTCAGGGGGTTATTCTGAGTGAACCTTTCTGACTTCATCACTTTTTTACCTTCATATGTGAGTTACTTAACTACGCCGGGGATGGCGGTGGCTGAAAATGGGAAGTCAGCCCATAGACCAAGGAACAAGAACATTGCCATAAATTTGACGAACGAATCGAGATGCAGTCCCGCCACTGCAAAAAGAACTTTCACCAAAATGATATTCTGAACGAAAACCCTCGCCAACACTGCAAATGCAAAGGCGATACTAAAGTACATTTTTTGGCGATGCAATTGAGTGTTGCCAATAAACGGCCCTACGGAAAAGTAATGCCTTCAGAACGGCGATACACAGTCGTATCGTCAAAATTTGGCGATACTTTTGGGTTATGCCAAAACTACGGCATTAAACCAAAGTCTTGTGCCCTTGTTGTTCGATGTTTATTGCCAAATCGTGGCAAAACTCCAAAGTATCGCCAAATTTTGGCGATCCTTTCATGTATCGCCGTTTTGGAGGCAATACTTTTCCGTAATGCTGTTTATTGGCAATACTATCAATTGTATCGCCAAAAAAGGTACTAAAAGTATGCCTTTGGATTTACAGTGAAGTTTTGGTCAGACCTGAAAGTCCCGCCAAAATCTGGTCAGACAAAAAAGTCTCGCCACAAAACGGTCAGACACAAAAGTCTCGAGACTTTAGTGTCTGACCGCCACCTAAAGGCCGTAGTGCGCCGGACGGTTCCGGCCCTAAGGGCTTTGAGCGATGTCTCATTCGATTAGGTGTGAAGAAGCTGATTTACATCCAAACGAAAGAGACACAATCTTTAAAGGAACGGACATCTTGTCACACTCGTTTCAATGGATGTCACGTTCCTGGAATGAGTGTGCTCACGAAAAAGAATTAAGTTTTAAATGAACGTGCTGGCTGATATAAGAATGTCCTCGTTAAAAATTCGTTGGATTACGAGCTTTTCTCCATGAAGATAAAGCACGAGGAAATAAGCAACCAATTCTCCTGGTTGTATAGGGGCTTGTACCAGTTTACCATATGTGTCGGTAGAAACTTGCTTGTGTTACCCAAGCATTCATAATATCCAGGATTTTACTATAATTTCAGACTGATCACCAGTTAAATCGATGTTACCTAAGTTTAAGGTCATAATACGAAAGAAAAGTTAGGAAGAGGTTCAATTTTAGGGTTTCTGTTCAGATCTTATCTCGCAGTTTCCGTATGAAACATTTGGTCGTTCCCGTATTAAGAATCTTACCTGTAACGCACGCCAATATCGCCAAGTTCGATCATCTGGGACACATAAGTAACTAAACGGATTGCAGTTCTACAAAGCACCGCTGGTTTCTTTCATCCTTCCTCTTCAAGTTGGCGTCGATAACATCATGAAACCGTTTTATTTTAAGATGGGAAATTCACTTGCGTTCAAGATCAGATTCTGTATGCGGAAACGACAAGATAAAGTCTTTCGTACTGCAACGGTAAGATAAGATCTTTTGAATGGGACCTCTGAAATTTAACTTTTTCTCAAGTAGTATAGGTTGCTTGTCTTTATTAATTTGCATTTTGTCAAATGGAGGTCTTTTTCTTGGGGGGGGGGCGCTACGAAGAAAGCTTGTAAATGCCTCATACGAAAACGAGTGGTTGCTTCACATATTCAGGATGCTGCCCTGCAAGCTTTGGGCGTTGGTGCCCCTTGCCCTGCTGGTCGTGATCGGCGGGCCACCCTCTGCTAACAGCCAAGTTCAACCAGGATCGGGATCAGGCACGTAATTTTCAAGCTGTGGCACATCCGCGGGTATAGACCCTCCGGGCGAATTACTTACACTGTTTCTGTTCCCGCCAGTCGTGAACGCGATTGGGGGCATTTTGGACCCGGTTGTGAGTGTCCTAAACCCAGTGGTGGAGGTGGTTGCTGGATTGGCTCCCATCCCCGGCGCCCTGCTCGGTACCGTGGCGCCCTACACGGCGTTGCTCAACCCGCTGCTTCAGTCCGCGCTGCTGCAGAATAACATCACGCAGTTCTCCTCGGACATCGTGACAAACCTCTCGGCCTTGGTGGCCCTTGTGGCCAACGCTGCGCTGCCTGTGCCTCCATACCTCCGGCCGGTAAGCTGGACTGACGGTGAATCAACCAATCCCCCCACAAACTCGTGTCTCAGTTCCCAAGTTTTAGTCTGTACCCAAACATTTTATAGACACGCTCGTGCTTTGGATGCCTTGTTCCAGGACCAGGAAGCGCCGAAATTCGGCTTCGTCGGAGAGGCTTACAACGTGACGACTTCGGACGGCTACATCCTTGGAGTGTTCCGAGTTCGAAAAGGAACGTGCGCCTCGTATCGTTCTGTTGTTGTTATTCCGCCAGGGATCCTTTCCAATGCGGCTTCCTTCATCTACATCAAGGAAAACAGCCTGGGTTAGTCGTGTGGCTACTCTGTAAATTGAGCCGCACAATGTGTTCAGTAAAGACGGCAAACATGTTATGCATAGAAAAGGACAATACCATAGGAGTAGAGTCAAGTCGTGCAGGCCTATTTATTTCTAACCACCTTGTTTGAACCAATAGGGTATTTCGGAGCAGCCCTGGCCCGGAAGAAGAAGAACAAAAACGGAAGTCAGAAATGGCAGTTTCTATGAGAAATATACGCTCCAGATGAGCATCCCCAGCTTATATTTCTCATAAAAATTGCCATTTCTAACTTCCGGTTTTGTTTTCCTTCTTCCGGGCCAGGGCTGCTCCGAAATACCCAATGGAGCTAAAAAATGAAGAAAAAAAAAACTTTTAACATATGTACCTTTCGGTCTGGAAAGGGACCCCCACATAATTTGTACAAAAACAAAACGCTGGGTACTTACTTTACTAATTTTAGTGTACCTTGTCGAGCAAATGCATTTTTTTTGCGACCAAAATGTGTGAATCACATCTGTTTCCTCTTAGAATGATATTTATTTGGGCTTGCGGGCACTGGGTGTTGCAGTTTGTTGGTATTTCTCACATGCAACTCTGCGTTCGGGATTCTGCTTTCAGTGTACCGTCTTGCGCGAGAATGCAACGACGTGTGGCTGTTCACTTTCCGAGGTTACATTTTTGGACGTGGACACACAAGTCTCAGCGACACAAGCTCTGAATTCTGGGACTTCTAGTAAGTGCTCATTAATGGAGTGATTATCACTATGTGAGAATGCAATGGTTTTGATCAATGCCTAATTTGGGGCGAGGTGTGCTTTATCACCCAAATTTGGGTGAGGAAGGGTGTATCAGCTACATGAACGGCAACATAGTATTATCACCCAAATTTGGGTCATAAAAAATTCCTCACCTCAAATTATAGTCCTGATCATGACTCGTTCATTTTCAGTGATACCATGACCTGTGTGTCTGTATGTGTGGCACGTGCCTGACGTTATTGCGTCTTGAAAGAAGTGCCAAATCATTTTGTCATAAAGAAACATGGTGAAGGTTCCTTTTTCTGAAATAAACCCAGATCCTACGGTTCTAAGACTTTTATAGCAGTAGTTTTTGTTTCTCCCTGACTTTCCTCACGTGAGTTATCAGTTCTCAAAGTTTAAATCTTCTATCCTCTGCAGCGCGTACCACTGGGGCGTCTACGACCTGCCGGCCCAGATAGAGTTCGTCTACAGGAAGACGAACAGCACCACAATGCGCTACTTCGGCGTGGACCAGTCCGGCACCGCCCTGCTCTTCATGAACCACGTGCACGGCCAGCGATACCAGAGGTTCCTGGCAGGCACCTACCTGCTCGCTCCCATCGGCTACCTCGGACGTCTTAAGTCCGCGGTTTTCGACGCAATGTCCGTTGTTCGCGACGGCCTCACGGTAAATAGTGCCAAGTGGTTTCCCGGGATCCACTTGTGTCAGGCGGAAACCTGGTGAAGCTTGAAAGTAGGATTCATAAAATCCCCCAAAATTGAAACTTTGGAAACCGACTCACCGAGTCCTTTGTGTTAAAATTTTTCATCAGGCTGCCGGAGCACTGACTCTCCACAACGAACTCGCCTTCATGAACCCAGCCATACACTCGGTGCTGTACAACTTGTGTGGTCGCATCTCCCCCATCACGTGCTACTACGTTTTCCAGATCCTCGGAGGGAACACCAGGGAGATAAATTACGTGAGTTGACGAAAACAAGGGGCGTGAGTGCGTAGAGTAGACTTTAGAAAGTGCACGTTTGGTTAAGTATAGTACCCTTTCAAGTACGTGCCTATACTCTCATCTCAGGAGCTTGACATCACATTAAAACGAGCGTGAGAACATGTCACACTCCTTTGAGCATTATGCCACGCTCGGTTTCAACGTAATGTCACGCGCTCCTGAAAAAGAAGTGTAGTTTTTATGCACTTCCAGGTGCGTGCTTAAATTAGTTCACACCTCAAAGTCCGCACCTACAAAGGACTCGTTCCCACGCGACGCGTGCACTGAGTACGCTCTCAAGCTTTTTGTGTTAATTTGCCAGCATCTTGAATTTTTGCTTGAATTATTCAAATTTTATTTTCAGCCGTACTTCCCTTATGCTTTTGCGAACTTACTGGACAGCACGTCGATAACTGGTTTCAACTATTTCCTTCAACAAGTTGGCAGAAGTAAGTACAGCAGTTTCCTTGTGCGTGCTTACAGCCTTACACAACACTCGCGGCTCATTGTGTGATTGTTCGGTTCAGTTAAGTACATGAAGTATTACGACTACGGCCCGGCTGAGAACTTGAGGCGATACAACCGAACCACCCCTGAAGACGTGAACATAGCTGCAACCACTGTGCCATGCAACTTCTACGCCCTCGGCAGCGACAGTGTCACCGTGCCACAGGTGAGACTGAAACGTGAAACGGTCACCAAGGTGGCCATCCTGCAATGGATTCCCCGGCCTTTTCACAAATGATTGGATCGTGGTCGATGCAAAATCTATACCCGATGCTGTAGATAACAACTGCCCGAAAAATTGAGATTGACAGGCTGGAAGGTAACCAGACCACCGTCCGTGCACCATTGTCTAGAAACTCACACGAGGAGAAAAGTTGACTCTCGGGTAAAAAAAAAATTAACTCAGGTCGGCAACCTAAAACGGAATAAATTTTCACATTTCCCGAATATTTATGGAATGCGACGTCCAGTCGGAGTGTAGTTGGATCAGTTCTTTCTCTACAATCGACTTGATAAGGCTCTTAATCAAATTTCGACTCCTTGAAGATTCTATTTTGTTTTCAATCGAGTTATCAAAATCTCAATAGCGTTGTTGCTATGAGGATAAAGGTTTGGAAAAAGGTGTAAGGAGACCTCATACTTGAAGAAGGCATTTCAAGAAAGAGGATAGTTCTTCCTGATGCCTGAAAAGGACCTGATCAAACGCAGTTTCTGGAGATAAAGTGAAAGTTTGATAATGAATATCGATTTTGGGTGCCAGCTTTGCCGGAACATCAAACAACTAGTTCTTACAGTTTACTTTCCACAATGATGGAACTATTGTAGTTCTTCTCTTTCACGAAACCAACCTTGCACCTTCACTGTATCAATATGTTTTATTTACTTTAAGGGGGGACCCTGGTGAAACTTTCAAGTAGGCTTTAAAATAATCCCAGAAAGTTGAAACTTTGCTTGATTATTAGGTTCATTATGGTGAGTTCATAAAACAAAATTCAATCCAAAATGTTAAACGGTCTCTGAGAAAAGTGGCTTTTTAATGTTTTTTAGAGCGTTGGGGAAAAATCTTCCTGCGTCTTTCATTGGAACGGAAAGTCTTGAAAATTTTTTTGGGTCATCCTTAAGATGTATAGAAGAGATTTTAGTGACGGAATTTTCAATTTCAACTTCTGTCCTGAGATATCAATTTTCAAATTTTAACATTTAAAAAAAGTGAATTTTTTGCCTTTTTTTGAAACTTTTAGGTGTGTGTTAAAAAAAGTAGGGCTGATATCAAGATTCCGTCACTAAAATTTGTCGACAAGTCATCAATGAATAGAGTCCATGCAAGACGACTCATGTAGGTGTCAACCAGGAACGCAGGAAGTCTTTCTACGACAAAATTTTTTGTCGACTGAGCAAAGATGTGAAGTGGAGCGTATAAGCCAACGACAACTGATCTCAATGTTATTTCTTTCCAAATGATGAAGGAACTACCCACATAGTTTAAAGGTGTTCAACCTGTTGAATTTGAAACCCTCTATGCACATTTTTATCTATGAACTTTAAAAATACTATTTTTGGCAGTTTTGGCCATTTTTTCACCAGGGTCCCCTAGGGTGTTTCACTTTTGCAAAAAGTTTCGAAATCTTATGACCGCCGGGTGAAAATTGATTTTATATCCAAAAAAAAAGTTTACGTGTTTCGGGGTTTTCGAAATTTCGCAAAATTAGAGGTCGCTCAACGCCTTTGAAAAATTTAGGCTGTTTTTACTTAAGTCCAAAATGCTGAAATCGCCAATTATTGACCGATTTGGACCATTCTAGGCTCATTTGAAAGGTTTTGAGCTGTACTTTAAGAATCTGCGCCCAGAAATTCGATTGGAGTCGTCTGTTAGGCTACAGAGCGACGTTTGTGTTTTTCAAGGCCCTAATTGCAACTTTGCGCGACTGTATCTTCTGCAGTTACAAACCGATTTTCTCCCGCGATATCTCAAAATGACCGTCAGAGTCTCCCCTTTCCAGCGGTGTGCTTGGATTGACATTTGAAGCATTTGCCGAGTTTCTATGAGGCTCGAAGTACAGATTTGCGACAAATTTTCACGTTTACCGTACACTTCTTGGATGAAAAGTGTACTGACAAGAGCCGATCTTCGCTTTCACCCCTATTTTCAGTTGCGCATGATGCTTTTACCGCCTCAAAGCCGGCTGGTGCTGCTACATTGGCTCCAGGGACATATTAATAGCGTTCGATGTTGAAATCTTATGTTTAGGTCAGTGCGCTACACCTTCTATGGTTTAACGTCTCCCCGCGACATCCCAAAACAGACTTCAAATTCACATTTTTCCGAAACTGTGGTTAAGTCTATTTTGTATCAAAAGGTGGTCAACGCCTTTGTGGATAGGAGTCTATTTGACCGGTTTCTACCGATAAAAGCTAGATAGCAAGCAACACTCTTCGGTTATAAATGGTTGTTTATGGTTGTTTTTACGAACAACTGTGAATCTTCGTGTATATACGAATAATCTAAATAATTCACGATGAATGTTCGTGGATTTACGAGGAACATTTGTAAATTACCAAGATTATTCGTGAATTCACAGAAGTGCTCTGGCTAAAATCTTCGCCAGAGGCTTCTTCGTATATTCCGAATATTTATCTTTACAGTGAAGTGTTGGTGAAAATCATTATGGGCAGGTTGACTTTTAGCTCAGCAATATGCATCCATGGGTCCACAGACAGTGGTGCACTGTGAAATCCCCTGAAAAAGTATTTAACCATAAAGATTGTTGCTTGCTATCTAGCTCTTATCGGTAGAAACCGGTCAAATAGACACCTATCCACAAAGGCGTTGACCACCTTTTGATACAAAATAGACTTAACCACAGTTTCGGAAAAATGTGAATTTGAAGTCTGTTTTGGGATGTCGCGGGGAGACGTTAAACCATAGAAGGTGTAGCGCACTGACCTAAACATAAGATTTCAACATCGAACGCTATTAATATGTCCCTGGAGCCAATGTAGCAGCACCAGCCGGCTTTGAGGCGGTAAAAGCATCATGCGCAACTGAAAATAGGGGTGAAAGCGAAGATCGGCTCTCGTCAGTACACTTTTTATCCAAGGAGTGTAGGGTAAACGTGAAAATTTGTCGCAAATCTGTACTTCGAGCCTCATAGAAACTAGGCAAATGCTTCAAATGTCAATCCAAGCACACCGCTGGAAAGGGGAGACTCTGACGGTCATTTTGAGATATCGCGGGAGAAAATCGGTTTGTAACTGCAGAAGATACAGTCGCGCAAAGTTGCAATTAGGGCCTTGAAAAACACAAACGTCGCTCTGTAGCCTAACAAACGACTCCAATCGAATTTCTGGGCGCAGATTCTTAAAGTACAGCTCAAAACCTTTCAAATGAGCCTAGAATGGTCCAAATCGGTCAATAATTGGCGATTTCAGCATTTTGGACTTAAGTAAAAACAGCCTAAATTTTTCAAAGGCGTTGAGCGACCTCTAATTTTGCGAAATTTGGAAAACCCCGAAACACGTAAACTTTTTTTTTGGATATCAAATCAATTTTCACCCGGCGGTCATAAGATTTCGAAACTTTTTGCAAAAGTGAAACACCCTAAGGGTCCCCCCTTAACCCGGTGTGTCGTTTTTCAGGACGTCCTCGACACCTGGAACGCCCTGGCCCCGTCTGCCCGCGCGTCCTACCAGGTCCTCGAGAAGTACAACGGCGTCAGTCCTTTCGTGCCGGTCGACTCGGAGGGCCTCTACGGTCCAATGATCCGCAAGTTGAACGCCGACCTGGCGCGGGGCGCATAATGAGGACGCTTCCACTACCCCTTCAGTTGTGATCGGGACGTGCTGCTATTCGCTGTGCCCTCATCATTGAAGTAAAAAGATCTAGGCAAGCGTAGCGAACGATGCATATTGACAACCCGATTTCCCTTCAGCCAGTCTGCATTGAAATTCAAAGAGTGACACATGTCGCTACCTTTCGGCGATACAAAAATAATCACCAAAAGAAGGGTAGTACACGTACATTCTTTATAAGGGTTTCTATCTATGACGCCAATGTGAGAAGAAATTTCCAATGCAGGGGAATAGTCATCATTGTCAACCCCGGCACATACTTCCATTAAACGCACAGCATTTACAATGGCCAAAGCTCGGTCCACAAAGTACCCAACACCATCAAGATCTTCAAGAGGGATTGGAGGCTGAACATTTTTCACATACGCTTCACTGGGTATTGTCTTGCAGTGCACATTAGGGTGGAGCGATGGATCTAAAATCGAAAAAATTTTCACAGAAATGGGGTCCCGAGGATACTGTAAGACTAGTGCCAAAACAGTTTTGGCCGGGGCCACCTTCTTCTTGCCCAGCAGAGGCCTCAAAAATGGGTCTAAAAGTCAAAAATGACACTTTTACGAGCATAACATTGGAACCAGGGACAAATTAGCCATCGGCTATCTCGCTTTTGGTGCGGAATATATGTGATCCAGGAAGCGGAAGAAGGGAATAACTTGACTTATCCCCAAATTGAGTTTTTATTTTATTATTGTGCCTTAGAATGGTTTCCATCATTACACCAAATTATTTGACTGAATTCCAAGCAGTTTAGGAGAAAATCCACATGGAAAAAGGGTATAACTCAACTTAGCCTCTTTTACAGTCTAAATTTCATTGGAAAATGGAGATAACTCAACAGAAGTCCCCATGAGTCCGTTTGACAAATTGGCTAAAGGATATAACTCAACTTGTATTTTTGTGAATCTTGTGTAAAAAGAATCAACTCAACTTAACCCCCCCTTAATTTTAAATTTCAATTTGGAAAAAAGAGCTAAGTCCAAAAAATACACCAGAGTAACATACACTTTATGTAGACTATTGTTCCACTTGACTTGTCTCCAAATTCCACTTTGTTTAGGAAATATAAGGTGACGTGACTCTGTTTTCCATTTCAACGGAAAGTGATAAGTCGCAGAAATCCTCTACGGAGTGACCTTACACTTTTGATTTTTTTCCAAAATTTTACTTATGCTTTTTGAAATTATTAACATCTGCAACATTCATTTGTTTTGTTTTAGTTTTCCCTGCTAACAGTTTTTTGTTTCTCCTGAAAAATGGCCAAAATTGAGTTATCCCCTTCTTCCGCTTCCTGGATCAAGTCCGAATGCTGTGAATTTGTTGCAGAGCTGTCGGACAAGGTCTTTGGCCCGGGCGGAGGCCGTTTTTGTCAAAAAAAAACGGCGTAAAAATCGTCGTTTTTGCTGTATTTTGATGTTTTTCGTCACCTGCGCAGTGTGTTTCGCCGTTTAAGACGTCCCACTCGATCCATCTGTAGAGACACGTTCTGGAGTACCGTTTTGCATCCACTCAACTCCGGAAGTAACCTGAACGGAACCGGAAATGGCCCTGATCGAGCCGGAAGTGGACACATTTCGATCAAAATAAGCATTGTTTTCTCTTTTCACGCGAGTTATCCTCATTAACCACTGAGAAATGGAAGCTAGCAGATCGTGCAGGTCCAGCCCGGACCCCGGCGAAAAACCCCGGTTTTACCGCGCGGTGCAGCTCCGAGCTGAACGGCGCTGCCTCCACTGGTAAAACTAAGGCGTAGTATTACGCCTCTTTGAAGCGTACTAAAGGCTGGAACGCCCTGCTTCAAGCGTAGAGTTTGTACGCTTGAAGCCAAGCGCACTCAAGCCAGGTCAAAAATTCTTACGCCCTGCTTCAAGCGTAAAGTCAGTACGCTCAATTTCAAGCGTAAAGAAAACCCATGCTCAATTTTACAAGCACAAGAGAATGCGCACATTCATCGTGTGAAACCAGCTCAATTTAATTCAAGATAATATCTTAGCTTCATGCATCCTTCAAACAATAAATGAACTTTCAAAGAAAATTACAAAATGTATCAAAATATTCTTGGGGGTCCAAGTCCAACAGGCCTTTAGGATTCCGCAACACTCCTTAAGTGTTTCTACCTTGCGCAGTTCCGGCATTCACTCTTGAGACGCTTACCTTGTAGTGCTATCCATTAATTGTTCCTGCTGGTTTGGTTTTAATGTTTATTATTTGTTTCTTACAGTCTCAGGCCGCTGGCGCTGGTTTTCATGTTTCCTGATGACATGCTGAAGGCCTAGCCCCACAGACAGACATAGCCTCTTGGTGCTGATAGGACAGATCGATTTTACTCTACTTTCAAGTTTGTGAGTATGTTGTGACTGTGAGCATAAAGATTTCTTTGGGCGACACACTGGGCACAACTTCAAAATGCTTGAATTGCTTGAATTGCAATGCTTTGAATTGAATTCAAAATGCTTGACATGGTGCAAATGATGAAACTGATCCGTTTGAAATAAAGTTTGTCAACACAAACACATATCTTGACTGTTCACCCTCAGTCTTGAGTGCAAATAAGTTACTTGTTGCTTTTCACACTCCAGGGTGTGAAAAGCAAAAAATATCTACTACATATGTTAGGATTTTTTGTTTGTCCTGATCAGACGAATCGATTTCTATTAATAGATGTCAGTTTTGTCCACTTTGAAATTCCACCCAAACCACTTGAATGTAACGAACGTCGACGCGCGTGTAACAAACGTCGACGCGCGTGTAACAAACCTCGACGCGCGTGTAACAAACGTCGACCCAAAGTACGCTTTTAACATTTAAGCCATTAGAAACAAAACTGGAACGATTTAAGCTTTGATATTTCTTGGGGACCATTCTAGAGCCATCTTGAATGAGCCTGCAAAATTTCATCCGAAAAGCCGCACATTAAAATCTAGGAAATCCAGTGCCTCAAATTCCCACATCTCGGCGAACCAACCCATATGAATCGTCGGGGTGAATGTTTTCATCCCTCTGAAATGCGGTTCTTCACTTCGTAAGTAACCTGCACTCGGTTGGCCAACAATTTCAATCAAAATCCGACAATAGGATCGTCCCAATTGCACAGCACGAACTGTGGGACGGCAAGACGCAAAAACGTGTGGTGCAACTTCCGATTAAATTGCTGTTTTGACCCTGTATATGGACGATTGACGGTCCGCCGGGTTCATGTTGCATCCGTAGGGTCACCACTAAGTTCAGAAAAAGCACTTTATGCATAGCCCAAATTTGGAGGCGTTCAGGAGTTTTACACCGAACAAAATTGCAGAAAAACGGCTCAACCGCCGATTTTGACCCATTCCGGGGCTCTGCATCGGAATCAGACATGCCCCCACGGGTGAAAAACAAGATATTGGTCCTAAAAACACTCGTGCCAAATAGCAAAGCTCTATCACAATTTGCAAGGTTGGTACGCTTAACCTCCGCACTAGTCGTGACTAAATACAGCGCCCAACGTAAGTCGAAACTATAACACGCCTCCTCACACACGTGTTTCGGCTAGGAGGTAGGCTCATGGAAGAAGCAAAAGCGTATCTGGTGGGGCTCTTGCCCCCCACCTAGCCCGGGCTAAAATTTTTCCCAAAGGGTTTCGAAATGTCGATGCGCGGAAACGGAATTCGGTTCCTTTCCGGATTCTAAGACTCGGGGAATTTTTCGGGATTTTTGAGGTCCCCGGGAAGTGGTCCCGCACGGCAGGGTAAGTTAGGTGCACTGCTTATTGATAGACCAGGAGTAAAGCGGCCTTCATATTCGTTTTACGGGCATATTCCATGGAACAAAAGTTGTCAGAAATGGTCAAATTAAAAAAAATAAGTGATGTCTGATTTCGAAAACTCAAAATTTGCAATCTGGGTGCCTACCTGAAAGGGGAAACCTGGCGTCTATTTTCGCACTGACCCCCCAAAATGAAGTGTATCAGGACGGAAAACGTTTTGAAAATCGTTTTGGGCCCCTACTGGTGGTGCTATTTTGAGTGCCTAATCTTCGCCCGGTCTAACGGATTAATTGGAGGCCTTTAATGAGTATTGCCTTGTTTACGTTTGGGGGTGCGGATTGTGGTGAAGTCTGGTTACTTCTCGTTTTACTCGGTGATTTGCGAAGATCCAATCCCTGACACAGCAATAGTGCGGAAACTAGAGCCGCGCCAAAGCCACGCGGCGAAGGGCTGGAGCGCGGTGATCAGGTGCACTGCGGGAAAGTCTACATGAACCGAAGGCAAGACTGTTATTTTTAAGATTTGGGTTTTGGGAAAAATAACGTAAGTGTCGTTTCATGTTAAAGCTAGTATAAATCTATTGGTGCCATTCAAATAAGAACACTTCTAAACCTGGGAGTGAGGAGCGAGCCCAGAAACAGTCTGCCTCATTTAAAATTTTGAACTGGCATATACGTAGAGAAACGCGGCAAGCGAGTTTTTACGACGTTTTTGCGAGAAGTGTACGCATGACGAAAAGCTCGTCCTATTCCGAATCTGCTTAGCTAAGTCAACGGTCTATTTAATACGCACTCTTCGGCGTGCACCCACAAGCGCACTCCCACGGGCGTGTAGTACTCAATTTAACACACTTACAGTAGAATGTACTCAGTTTGCCCTGGGAGTATACTCAAATGAGTGCAGGCTCGTGACGATCAATTTATTGGTCACAAAAGGTTCCGAGTATGATGAATCTCTAAGACTAAAGTAAGCACTTGCGAAATGAGTTTCAACCGGGTCTATGCGAATGTGCGTTGGTGAAGCAAAGTAATCAAATCGCTAACTTTCATCGCACGCACAACATTTCAGTAAAGATCGGTTGGAGGTAGGGAAAAGTAAATCACAATGAAAGAGTTCTTATTCAGAATAACATTTCAGATTAGACAGGCTAAAGGCCTGTCCATCTGGTGTTCTCTTTTACGTTCTCGTGCTTTTGACCTTCTCGACTGAATCTTCGGAAATTACCGAAAAAGTCAAAGAAAACGAGTTTAGCCACGCAACGGGCGCCCAAACGTAAACAAGGCAATACTCATTAAAGGCCTCCAATTAATCCGTTAGACCGGGCGAAGATTAGGCACTAAAAATAGCACCACCAAAAGGGGCCCAAAATCGATTTTCAAAAAGTTTTCCTTCCTGATACACTTCATTTTGGGGCTTAGTGCGAAAATAGACGCCAGTTGCCCCTTACAGGTAGGCACCCAGATTGCAAATTTTGAGTTTCCGAAATCAGACATCACTTATTTTTATTAATTTGACCATTTCTGACAACTTTTGTTTCATGGAATATGCCCGTAAAACGAATATGAAGGCCGCTTTATCGGGTTTCTATCAATAAGCAGTGCGCCTAACTTACCCTGCCGTGCGGGACCATTTCCCGGGTGACCTCAAAAATCCCGAAAAATTCCCAGAGTCTTAGAATCCGGAAAGGAACCGAATTCCGTTTCCGCGCATCGACATTTCGAACCTTGGGGAAATTTGAGCCGGTCTACCCCCCTCTTTGGGGTCCTAGCACAACTCGACCGTAACAGCTGTTCAATCAAATTGTTTTCGTCGCAAAAGCGTATCGTGGCCGTGCTCTTGCCCCCCACCACGTTGCACAACTCGACCGTAACAGCTGTTCAATGAAATTGTTGTCGTCTCATACTTAAGTCCCTAGAATGGCCGTTGTTCCACAGTGGTGGACATCCAGGCACATCCTGAGTAGGCTACGCAGCACTTTTTTAGGCAAGTTAGACACACCACCCTCAAACTTTTAAATCAAGAAGGTCTCTGGAGCTCGGATCACTCACGGCTGCTCTTCTCACGAAAGATGCTCGTTTCGACCATACACTCTCAGTCTCGTATTGACTTTGTATCTCTTTCCAGAAAGTTTTTTTTTGTGCATACGCAATATGTACTATTTTCTCTGTAGCTATGCACTATTTTGTTCATTGTATAATGCATTTCGTCCATTAAACCTGACTTTTTGGCATTTGCAATGTAATTTCCAATGTCTACATGATCTATTGACAATTTTATCTTTTAATTGAGCATAGAAAACAGTAAATTTTATGTTTGCTCAAAAGACGTTATAAGCAAGAAAGAGAAAAAGTCCATATAGGTCTAAGAGTGTATCTATCTCCTCGTGTACTTATGCTTAGGAAGCATTTCAGTTTTCCGAGGTCCACTCTCAACTCAGGAACACTGTCCTTCGAAGTGTGGTACAGCCTACAGATAATGTGTGGTGGGCGCAAAACTGTGGTTACCCAAATTTACCACACGTGAAGATGCGGTCAATACCCCTAAAAATCAGTGGTCGACAAAACACCACATGAAATTCATGGTGAATACCACAGCAAATATGTGGTCAGTCCTCCTTACCTCATGAAAGGGTGGTCTTGACCACGCAATACATGAGGTAACGGCTAAATTTTAGGCTTTTACACCACTTATTGGACGGGGTGTACTTCTTACCACATTTGTACGTGAGGTAGAGTGCGGAAACCACACTTTTGGTCTCACCACAGCCAAATGTTGTAATTTCACCACACTTTCGATTTCAGTGTAAGTAAGTAAGCGGAATGTAGTTCTACAAAGCACCACTGGTTTCTTTTATATTTCCCCTCATAAAGAAAAATGTTGAGAGATTCTCAGTCGATGTAGGAGTAAAGCAGTAGGGACAGGTTCTCGGGCCAGTCGAGAGAGCCGAAGTGCTGACACCTGCCTAAATCCACCATGCGTCCCGAATTTCGTAGCTAGCCCCTCGGTGGCACGTGGGTGCCCCAGTCCGTCTCCCTTTCTGGGATCAGCCCAGGCGGACCCGTGCCGCCGAGTCACTCTCTCCTACACCGTGATGGGCCCGGTAACAAGATAAGCGATAATCGGCGTTACCTCAGCGCACTCTTTGGTAAGCCATGGCGTGGTATTTGAGCCGCGATACACACTATGGCACGCCACTTTCGCACAGCGCCTTCTCGACGGAAGATCCGTGGGCTTTGCTGAAAGTCACAGGACCAGCTGTTGTCAGCGTCTTCTCAGCAGGTCGGTGGGTGTTTGAGACGTTCCACTTTCCATCCTCGTTTTCATAGTTAACATTATAAAGACCTTTGCATGACTTTTTGCAATCGACACTGTGAGAAAAAAGTACGGAAAAAGTACGGAACATGTCTGGTCAATAATTTGCCTGGACCGTCCGTACTTGCCAACTACGGAACGTGCCGTACTTTTTTTCCGTACCCATTTACATGGGTTCATATGGAGCAAGTACGGAACGTTCCGTACTTTTCTCCGTACCTCCGTACTATATTTTTCTGTACCATTTCCGTACAAAAGTACGGAATTTTTTACAGTGGAGTTTCCACCCGCTGATTTGCAAGGTTTCGAGTCGGCCATGACAATTTTGAAGGGCGACTCATGTCAGGGGGTTATTCTGAGTGAACCTTCTTGACTTCATCACTTTTTTATCTTAATATGAGTTACTTAACTACGCCGGGGATGGCGGGGGCTGAAAATGGGAAGTCAGCCCGGAGACCAAG